GACTGCTGGGTGTCTCAGCTGGGTCAGGAGAAGCAGTGGAGGTGTCATTTTCTGACCATGGCAAATACTGGGGTGTACAGGAGTATCTCCTCGTGGGTCCCATCTTCATAGAATCATAGAATTGCCCAGGCCAGAAGGGACCTCCAAACGTCATCTAGTCCCACCCCCCTGCAGTCAGCAGGGACACCCCCAACTAGACCAGGTTGCCCCATCGAGCCTCTCCTTGAATATCTCCAGGGATGGGGCCTCAACCACCTCCGTGGGCAACCTGTTCCAGTGCTCCACCACCCTCCCAGTGAAGAACCCTCTCCTCATCTCCAGTCTAAACCAGTTCCCCTCCAGCTTGAAGCCATTGTCCCTCGTCCTGTCACTACAGGTTCTCCCCAACCTTCCTGTAGGCCCCCTTCAGGTACTGGAAGGCTGCTATAAGGTCTCCCTGGAGCCTTCTCTTCTCCAGGCTGAACAACCCCAGCTCCCTCAGCCTGTCTTCATAGGAGAGGTGCCCCATCTGATCATCTCCGTGGCCCTCCTCTGGACCTGTTTCAGCTGGTCCATGTCCTTCCTGTGCTGAGGACTCCAAAGCTGGACACAGAGCTCCAGGTGGGGTCTCACCAGAGCAGAGGGGTAGAATCACCACCCTCACCCTACTGGCCACACTTCTCCTGATGCAGCCCAGGATGGGGTTGGCCAACACACGTTGATGGCTCATGTTGAGCTTCTCATCCACCAACACCCCCAAGTCCTTCTCCTCAGGGCTGCTCTCCAGCCATTCTCCACCCAACCTGGGGTTGCCACGTCCCAGGTGCAGGACCCTTCACTTGGCCTGGTTGAACTTCATGTGGTTCATGAAGAAGAGCCCACCTCTCCAGCCTGTCCAGGTCCCTCTAGATGCCATCCCTTCCCTCCAGCGTGTTGACCATGCTTGGTGTCATCACAAACTTGCTGAGGGTGCCCTCCATCCCACTGCCCACGTCTCCAACAAAGATGTTCAATAGCACTGGTCCCAGTATGGACCCCCTGAGGAACACCACTCCTTACTGGCCACCACCTGGACATTGAGCTGTTGACCACCACCCTTTGTGTGCAGCCATCCAGCCAGCTCCTCATCCACCCAGTGCTCCATCCATGGAATCCATGTTTTGTTGGTTTTTTTTTCTTTTTTTCTTTTTCTTCTTTTCTTTTTTTGGTTTTTTTCTTTTTGTGGTGGGACTCCATGATCTCCGAGCTCCCTTCCAACCACTTAAGATTGATTTTATGATTGATTCCCTGCAGGAAAGTGGGGCGCTCGCAGTCGGAGGCCTCGGCCGTGCCCCCCCCGGGCAGTGGGGAATCCCAACGTTTGCCCCATAAAGTGGAATCTGATTGATTCCCTGCAGGAAAGTGGGGCGCTCGCAGTCGGAGGCCTCGGCCGTGCCCCCCCCGGGCAGTGGGGAATCCCAACGTTTGCCCCATAAAGTGGAATCTCTGGAAAGTCTCTACTTCACCCCCATCCCCGGCCGGGCCCGATCCCGCCTGGAGACCAGCGCTGGATCCCTGGGGGATCTCTCCTTGGACTCCGGCCCCAAAACCCGCTCGGCCCGACGGCGAACCACCATCGACATCACCATGACCAAGGTGAGACGGGCTGTGGGGCAGGGGGAGATCTGTGGGGCAGGAAGAGATTTGTGGGGCAATAGGGGGCTCTGTGGGGCAATAGAGCACTCTGTGGGGCAGGGGAGGGCTCTATGGAGGGCT